AAAAGTTCGAAGTAAGATTGTCTATTCCCGGTCAAGCTTGTTTTAAATTTCTACTATGCTGCATTATTGTATCATATCAAAGTGGTCTCCTTTTCTTTGATATATAGGGTCATGTCAGAGACGTCCGTTCAATCTGTTGGGATATGAGCGGGAATTTCCTGGCATCTGTGAGCGAGGATAGTGCACGGATATGGTGTGTTAGCGGAGGAAAGTGTTTACATGAACTTTGCTCCAGTGGCAATAAGTTCCAGTCATGCACTTTCCACCCTGACCGCGCTCAACTCTTGGCGATTGGTTCTCATGAGGTATGCTTAACAGAATTTCTTAAGATTAAGTTCTTTGTAGACTTGGCTTGATTAATGTCTATATAGTTGCACAACAACAAATGTAACCTAGGACTATTCACATGTAAACATCTCAAACCGTGTTACAGATAACTTTTTAGATGATCCTAGATTCTTTTGATATTTCATGAGGGGAGGTAACATGTCGAGTGTTGTTGCAGTTACTGGAGCTGTGGAATCCAATGTACCAGAGCCACAGAACTTGGCCACACCGAGCACATGATGATATAATTTCTTCATTTGCAGATTCACCTCCGACAGGAACCATAGCCTCAGTGAGTCATGACCAGTATATCAAGATATGGCAGTGATACTTTGTTGCATGCCAGTTTCTGCGGCTATACCCCATGCTCTCAGCTTCCATTATTAATTTACTGATGCTTCTTGGTTTATGACTTTTACTTGGGACAAAGCAAGAAGACAGTATTCTTGATTTTGTTGAGGGATACACACCATTTACCTGGAATGAGTTATTTGAATGGTTGTATCACTACAGAAACAGTCACAAACTTTGATTCATAGTTTCAGACTCTAGTTAATCTTGACATTGTACTCTCTTCCCTATTTTATTGTTTGGAAATTGAATTTAAAATGTTAATTAGAATTGTCTATGAAATACCTAATATAAAAATTTAGTCTATGGATAAAGTTTTAAAATGAATAATTAATGTACTTAAATTCTTAAATTGGAAAGTTTGTAAAAAACATTATTATTAGTTAAAATGATTTATTTTATTTGACATACTTTTGAATATAATTATATCTCATACATTTTAGGGAGGAGTATTTATTAGGCTTGATTTGGGATTGTTTTAATTTTTTTTTAAAAATTGTTACTTATAATTATACGATTATCAACTTTTGATGTAACAGAAATAGGATCAAACAATCAATTTAATAACCTGATTGGGCCTATTCAATTTACTGGGTATTCCCAGTACAAATCCCAAAATCTTCCTCATTGTTAATAATCCCAATCAAAACCCCAGCACTCACAAATCACTAAAAAAAATGGAGTTGAAGGAATCGAGTAGAAGAGAAGAAGTATCATCGGCAAAAGCAGTACAGGTTGGAGCTTTGGCTCCTGGAATCAACGTCCGTATAGTTTTCCCCCTTCTCCGCAAATATGTTTTTTTTTAAACTTTAAATTCCTTTGTTGTAGTTGATTTTTCGTTTTTGGGTTCAGGGTCCTACAAGGAATATGCTAAAGAGTTGCATTTTTAATGCTGGGTTTGTGTCTTGCTGTTATATTGGACTTGGTTTTTTCGTCAAGTACTTTTCTTCTTCTTAGTAGGTATGTTTCAGCTTTTGTTATTCAATGTTGTAGATTTGATTTGCATTGGTGTATAGTTATTTTTGCCATCATGTTAGTGTACTTGAAAACTGTCAAGTAAGCTTTGTATAACTGGATTAATCGATTTGGATAAAATAAGTAAATAATCCTTACTTTGGAGGAATAGATTCCCACTTCAAATCTTTGATTTTGTGTAGTACCTGGAATAAGTGATAAAATGTATAATTACAAGATCATGTAACTAATTGACAGCATTTGTTGGATTATTTCTTTGGAAAATAAAGTTAATATCTAGGACAAAGAAAGGTTTTCCTAGACTCATTAGGACTAATGGCCGAATGATCATCCTTAAGGTGTTCCATTCCCTCTGTGCATCATCTTTTCTACCAGCTGCAGAGACACACATATTCCATTTTCCTGGAAATATAAACTGGGTAAAGTCAAAGAGTATTGCAGACAAACTAAACATTATTTGTCAGCTGACATGGTCTAAAAATGACTTCCCTCACTCTTGGGTAGAAGTTATCTCAACTCTTAATTTCATATCTATTCTCCTACCAACACTTAGACATTATAATACATTATAATCAATCTTTAGTATTCAAAAATTTCATCAAAACGCTATCTGATTCGCTAACATTATTTTCAATCTATAATCTAAAAAAATTCAGAAAATATTTGAAAAACGTTTGGAAAATGTTTCCATCGTATCACCATCCTAAATAAAAAAGAATTAGTACTTACTGTCTATTTTTCCAAGATATTGTCATCATCATGTGATTATTCGAGGAATATAACATACACTTTTAATCTTCATTCTGAGAATGAATTTACCTCACTGAAGTCCTTTTATGTCAAAATATTTACTGAAAATGCTTTCTCTTAAATAATATTTATGTTAGAGCTAGAAATTGACAAATCATTAACATTGACATAGGGGTAAATAATAACATGTGAATTATTCTAAGACTTATGATAAATGCACTTATCATGTTTTATCGAATTCAAGATTTATGGTAAATGCAGTTATCATGTTTTATCGATTTTTAATCATTTTCAATCATGCAAGAATCAAACTTTACGTTGTTTTGGTGCATATCTCAAGCCATTCCGATATGTCAAATGGGGTTTGAAACTGCCTTGCTTTGGAATCACAATTGATCAAATATGGCATATTCTTTCCTAGGAAGTAGTGTTGAAGACATAGTAAAGTCGATAAAAGTCTATTCTCTCTAACAACTTAAGTTTTTAAACGAGATGGTTACACAATCTAACATGATTTTTTATTGTTGATACAATCTAACATGGTAACAGAGCAGATAGAGGTCCTAGGTTCAAGTCTCGCCATCACTTATTGTAAAAAAGAAAGAAAGAATTCACATGGTTGATTTACAAAAAAATACTCAAACCTGTACGTGAGGGAGCTGTTTGAAACATAATTAAGTAAATAAAAGTATACTCCTTTAGTAGTTTAACCATTTAGATGAAGTGGGTTACACAATTTATCACCTAGAACCAATGTTTTTAAAAGCGAAAGAGCGAAAAGGCAATAAGGTCCATGGGACGTGAATCGAAGAGCGAGAAATAAAGTACACAATTCTTCGGAATGAAGTACACTATTCCGACATTAAAAAATATCAAATATATATGAATTTAGTATTATAATGATCAAATTGTAATTAAAAAAACTACTTTCAGTATTCAACAAACAATAATGTCGATACTAATCTAGCTCAAAGTTGAGATTCAAAGAATTGACCGTTTGTTATTGAGGTCACTTTGCGTATTATTTTATGAAACGCACACATGTATGAAGTGCATGGCTTCACCTATGAAGCAATAATCCATTTCTTCGCATAGTCTCATTGTTTTAAGCGATAAAGTGATGTCTTTTAATAGCACTAAATGATTAAATGCTCCTTAAAAAGAAATATGATGTTAATCTTTGCATAATATATAGATGTTATTACTAGCTTACCACATTTGTCTGAGTTCATACATGCATGTTTGGAGCTAATGAAAATCTTCCTTTATCGTAATATGCGGTCCACCTGAACATTTTAACAAATATGAAGACATTTCGTTATTGTTACTATTAAAAACCACTGGATAAATCTTAATAGGCAGTCCAATGCCTTCTTTTCGGTATAACCATATGGCATTTGGAACCTATTGGCCTGACTAGTTCAGATTCACACCGCGTAGGGCCTATTTAAAGGGAAAATGCTCCCTATCAAGGATTTCTTCGTTTCGGGGGCTCGAACCCGAGAGCTCTGCTAAGGGGGGAGGGATCCCATCCATCCCACCATACCCCTTGGTGGTGCAATCCGATGAATTAATAAAAATAGTATCTATTTAACAATAATTTAATTTTTTACTTAAGCTATACCATCTTATCAATCTTTTTTGTCTCAGATTATGTAATAAGAGTTTGCATAATCACAATGGCATGACTTTTATTGATATAAATTACTTGACTACCATTTTTTGGTAACTAGCTTTCGAAATTAATTAGTGGGTTAAAATAAAAGAATGTATGACCTTCAAAAAGCGTAAGTGGTTAGCAACAATTAAATCATATCTAAATTAGATTATACCTTTTTAATCTCAGTTTTCAGTTGTCATATAACCTCAAGTATTTCAAAATTATTCAATACCCTTATACTTCTCTAAATTGATTGATAACTCCCTAATTGTTACTCTTTACACTACCAGAAAAATATCGTTTTTACACTATCACGACACTTCATAACACGTAACAACTAGCCTACAAGCTTGACAATGTAGCATAAAAAGATTGTAGATAATATGGTTAATAGATTAAACTACACTGACAATGTAAACTATTTTTATACTTTCAATTCGGATATGTTAAATCAAAATGGGAAAAAAGAAAGAAGAAAAAGCGGGGGGTGAGAGGTTGTTTCTTCTTGAGGTATTTACGAGTTTAACCCATCTTGCATGGAATTCAGCTCAAAAATTGCTTAGAAACCAAAATGGTCAAAATTAACGAGTGATTGTCTAATTGTGAAAAGGTCTATTAGATTAGCTCAAATTTAAGAAGGTTCACTGTCTTTTTTTTGCCACCTCTTTTGGTTCGAAGCTTTAGGGGTTAAATATTGGAGTAAAAGTTGTTGTCTATTTGTCACCTAAAAACGCAGGCTCGGACAAACAATTCATTAATCGTCTTTTACTGTGCTTTCTTCTTAGAATTGGCTTCTATTGTAACTTTGCTTCTGAGCTGCATTAACACCTGAGTTGCTCCGACACGGCAGTTTAGGTGCCGCACCCGTGTCGACACGACACTAGTACAGGTGTAGGTATGAGATCCATATCAGATCTGGTCAAACAATTTTGGGTACTTTGACCACGACGGATGGAAAAATTTGAGACGAGATACAATTTGATTCCCGAATCAAAACCAAAACTATGATAAATTTGGAGAAAATAGCATACCTTATCTAGCAAATTAATCCTTTACTTATCTACAACTTGGGAATAAAAAAAGAATTTCACACTTTACAAGCTATACACAAGTATTCCACAAAATTTCTCATTATTTAGAAATATTTATTTTATTTTATTTTATTTTTTTATTTTAATTATTTTTAGATGGATCCCCGTACCCGTATCCGTACTAGGATCCATATCCCCGAATCTTAGAATTTATATTTCGACGGATCCGACCTCTAGATCCGCACCCGTGTCGGACACCCGCACCCATGTCCGAGCAACTTAGATTAACACGTCTTTATTTGCTTTTTGTTTTTCTTTATGGTACTTTCAATCAAAAAGAATACTTTACAAAAGGTAAATTTCCAAGGATAAAACTATGGCATTGTCATTTTTACCGCTATACTAGGGGCCACCATTTCTCTATTTAAATCCAGTGTTTTGCTTTTTTTCCCCCTACACTTTTGCATGGTACTGTCACCATCTCTCTCTCTCTCTGCATTCTTCTGTCTGTGATCCAAGTGGAATTTTGGTTCTTGAGTCTCTTTCTTCATCTTTCCCAGTTGTTCTTGCTCAAACCTTCTTTCCCTTCCCTTTTCTGTGATTAAGTAACGCTTTGTTTTTGGTGATCATGGCCAGTTTGGAGGCTCGACGCTTGTAAGTTTTTATGTGTTCGCCAATTATTTTATAGCAAAAACTACTACGCCTCAATTGTTTTATACTTACATTTTTAATGATTGATACTCTTGATAATCTGTGCTTGTCTACTTTTCATTTGATTTTGGGTGTATGTGATTTTCCCCCTTTGTTTGACTGGTTTTAGTCATGCTTTTCTTTTATTTGTTTGTGTTTTTCAGACTTGAAGTTGTCATTCTTAATTACATGGTTAAGAGAGGTTTCCATCAGACTGGTGAGGTATTCGCCAGAGAAATTAATGCTAATCCAAATCCTGTTGGTAAGTAACTCCTTTTAATGAATTCTATTCTTTTGGTGAGAAAAAAAAGAATTCTATTCTTTTATCAGATGCTAAAAACTGATCCTCTAATGAATTATGATATGTGTTTTAGTAATGATTGTTATTTACCTGAAAGGGTTGTAACATTCTCATGCTTAGTTTTGTAATTCTTACATATGACCATATGGTAGATTGTTGATCGTGTTATTCTTGAAAATTTTGCTAATAAGTTGAGGTCATTCTCTTTGATTCATGTGGTACATTCTAGTTATCTACTGTTGGATGTTTTTGAAAGTACTGTATTAACCGTCCTTCAGTAATTTAGAGAGACATGTATAATGCAGTTGAAGTTACGTGTTAACGTGATACAGGGCTTTGGAGTAATGATATCTGATATCTGTGATATTGTTTCAGCTATCAATTCTCCTGAAGGATATCTGCAAGAGTGGTGGAATATATTTTATGAAGCATTCAGCTCTAGGTTCCCTGAGGTTGCTCTATTCGCGGCCGAATCCTTTGATAAGGTGTTACCTATAGAACTTTTCTACGTTATGTTCATTGTTAACTGATATGAAATAATTGCGAACTAAATGCTTGATTTCTGAATTCTTAGGTCGCACAGACAGTGGAGAACGTTGTGTCTAACATCGGTCCTGTAAGTTCAACCTATGCTCCTAATCATACAGGAGAAAACATCTCTATTGTGACGGCGTCCTCTCCTATGATGCCATCCCCTCCTGTGATGGCATCCAGCGGTCCTGATCTTATGGACCCCTATATTTCAGATTTGTTGTCATCCATTTGTCCCAACTTGTTGCCAAATTTATCTCCTCCAATGGCATCTATTACTCCTGAAATGATGCCAACAGAGGGAGATGTCCTTCAGAATGCTTGTTCAATCATGCCAAGGACAGGGTATATTCAGCCCAGGTTCACACAGTTTTCTGTTGGACCAAATATTCGGATGGTGCAAGGGCAACCATCATTAGATCTGCTGCCCGGAAGAATGCAAGAGCAAGCCCAACATATGACTCCTCCAAGAGACGTGACATCAATTTTAAAGTTTCTTGAGATTAACAAAATGGATGGCATGCTTCCATCTGCAAGCAACTCTGGGTAATAGCATGCTATATTTATTGCTAAACTGATCATTCTCGTCGCATTTTGATCTATTTTACAATGCTTCCTTTGTCGCTTCAACGAGGATAAAGGTTGAGCACTTGATGCTATGTGGTTTTTGTTTCGCTTGGTCTGATATTATTGTCTTAAGCTGCTAAGGCAACGTAAAGAAAATTAGCCAAAATCACGTTATTATTCTGTCTTTGTATTGCTATTATGAGTTTCTGATATATTAAATATCAAGAGTTTCTTGCAAAACGTGGCTATTAAAACATGCTCTTTAGTCTAGTAAGCGGAACCTACTACTTAACGAGTACTTAACGAGATAGTCTTTTCACATTATCTTGATAATCCAAGCATGTTTTGTATGTGAAACCATTACTTGCTTGTTGAAGTTATTGAATCAGAATCTTCTAATTTTCTATGATGCATGTCCATGTCTTTCAGCTATCCAATGCAGCAAATTCCAACGACTCCTCCACAGTGGGTGGGCAGAGTATGTTTACATTTTCCCCAAACATATTTGCAAGCTTTTTAGTAGTTATTTGTAAATAATTGACAAGCTTTTATTCTTTCCAGGATGACAGGCGTGGTATAAATTTGGAAGGACCTATGCAGATTGAACCAAATCTTTATTTGCCTCCATGGCCAGAACATTCTGACGCGGGTTTGTTTGTTTCTTGGCTTAAAATATTATGCATGTAGTTTATAGAATCTTTTGTCTTTGGCATTGATATTATTGGATGTGTGGACAGTCATTTAACTTTTACTCCTAAGTCAACTCAACGTGCATTGTGATAATCTGCAAAAGACTTTTAGCACTAAAATCCATTAGAATGATAAATTGCATACATCGAATAGCATTGGCTCAGTCTTAATTTGTAGCAGTTGTAAATCCCTTTTCGATTGGATTAATATATGTCTACCATAAGCATCAAAATACTATTTCTGGATAGTCTTCATTGTCAAGCTTAAAGGGAATAACTCATATACTGAGATTTTTGCTGTCTCGCTAGCTAACGTAGAAAACGATTTTAGGCCAGCAGTTGTTTCTATGTGAATCTCTTCCCGACCTGGTTAAGCCACATTGGCACCAATTGAGATGGGAATGACAGGTGTTTTATATTTATAAATGAGGCTCACATGGGCCTAAGGTGGCCTAACGGCACCACTTGGGATGGGAATGACAGGTGTTGTAGTTTAATAAATGGGGCTCCCATGGGCCTAAGGTGGCACTTATTACTTAGTTATCAAATAATACATGGTTGTTCAACTTCGACTTGCTCTATCTTAGCTTGTATATTTTACAATTCAGGCACGTGGAGCCCTTAGATCAATAGTTCTGGAACATATTATTTGACATAAGTATAAATCGAGTTGTTGACATAAGTATCAACTAATACATGGTTGTTTTTGTATAAATCATACTTAGATTTTCTTCAATATTACATTTATATTATCAAATTTATTTTAGTTATTATTGTGAAAATTATTAGATAGTTATGTGTAAATGGTCCTAGTCCCATATGTAGTAGGAGTAGAATATGTCCTAGTCCCATATGTAGTAGGAGTATAATATGCCCTAGTCCCATATGTAGTAGGAGTATAATATGCCCTAGTCCCATATGTAGTAGGAGTAGAATATGTATTATTTATAGGGCTCATTGTATCATTGTTAAAAATATAGATTTTTCTCCCGTGCATTCTCGCATGGTATCAGAGCTTCAGTGAGAAAATTATCGTTGTGCGTCATTCCAGCGACATCCGGGAAGAAGGATCTTTTTGCCGTGCAATTTTCGGCAACTTCGTCTTGTTCCCAGGGTTCATCACTGCTACAGTGGTACTGTGCATATACCAGTACCACCATCAGATCTGAAACCCTTGTGCGACCAAACCCCAGAAATCCTAGTCCCATCAGAACAGAAAAGTCAGTCACCGTGCGTCTTTCCGGTTGACGATTCAAGATTGATTTACGTTATCTCCTCATCAGTAAGTGTTGTGCAAAAACCAACACTACCATCTTGTTCGGAAAAGTCAGGCGACAAAACCCCAGGCAATCGCTCCGGTAGAAAGTCCCTCACGCGCCTCCAGGCGCCACCAGAACTAGGGTTCCGGCGAGCTACAATAACTTTTCCAGCGCGTGTGAGCCATTCCGGTCACTTTTTGACAAAACTTCTTCGGGTCAACTTACTCGTCTAGTGATTCCGAGCCTATCTATATAAATTACATCAAATTCTGACAACTTTTATTTTTTCCGGCGTGATCAAAAAAGTTTTTATTTTCTTGTGGTGTTTTAGAACCTATTTTGTAGTGTGGAATTCGACTTAGTCTCACTGTTTTCAAATTTTTCCGACGACCTTTCGGCCAATTTCTGTTTATCAGCAACCATCTGGTTTTGTTGCTCAGGGGGTGTCTAGTGGCCTTGTATGTCGAATGATCAGCTTGCAGATATTTTCACCAAGTCCCTCACTGGTCCTTGTATTAGTTACTGTGAGAAAGTACGGGAGAAAATATATTATTGATATTAGATACTCAATACAGTATAAGAGGTCCTTATTTATAGCTATACTCTACAAGGACATATTACTCCTATTCCAATGTGGGACAAGACTACATTATGTATATATCTGTAAACTAACACTCCCCCTCAAGCCGGTGCATACAAATCATATGTACCGAGCTTGTTACATATATAACCAATACGAGAACAGTGAGGGACTTGGTGAAAATATCTGCAAGTTGATCATTCGACCTCACAAACTTTGTAGCAATCTCTCCTGAAAGTATCTTTTCTCTGACGAAGTGACAATCAATCTCAACGTGTTTAGTTCTCTCATGGAACACCGGATTTTATGCAATATAAAGGGCAGCTTGATTATCGCACATAAGCTCCATCCGACTGATTTCAC